CCTCCCCCTGGATCAGCACCGCTCTCATCTGGACCCGGTGTGAGCATGACGACCATCCATCCACTGGTCGTGTGTGTGTATAAACAACAGCAGAATGTTCTGAACTCGTTCCACATGAGCCTGTTTGTGTGAAAGGGAGAAATCCATTAAATAAATTAAATAATAATACTTTATATATATCAGTATGATTATTGAATTTATTTTATATTCAGTACACGTGAGCCACTACGAGGATTTGGGAGCAGAACAGAACAGAATCAGAACAACTGGGCAGATTCAGGGAGACACTAAATGTGCTTTGCTTGTACTGGAAGTTGGATGAAGGTCATAATCCAGTAAATGTTGTGGATGTTGTCTAACTTAGTATTTCTGATAACAGACCATCATGGTGGAAGGATGTCACAGAGAGGATGTCTCCAGAGTTTCCAGCAGTCATTTCGTATCAGCCAGGATCAACAGAACTGGACTGGACCTGCATCCACGTCTACTGGGAGTCATGCCGGAGCTGCACAGGGATGCTACAGGAAGAGAATTCCTGGTTCCAGGACCTCAGCCAGGCGCTCATCTCTGACCAAAGGGTGGTGGAACCAGCTCAGTTTGATCCCCACATTACAGCTTCCCTGATATGCTGCACTCAGCTGACCAGTCATATGCGCCTGGGTCCAGCCACATCTGGCAGAACCAAAACCCGGGCCTGGGCCTACACCAGGAAGAAGTCAAACCAGAGCCTGAGGAGCATTACACAGGACTGAAAGATTTATCCAGCCACAAACTACTGCTCTTTATGGGAGCAGACCACCAACAGCAGTCTGGCGTTGCAAACAAAAGCTAACCTGAACAAGGAAACACTGGAAGTGACATGTTTGTATTTGAACAAGTTGTATTCGCACAAACACACAATTTAAAAACAGTTCCAGTGACAAATAAAACACACATATCATAAATAAAAACAACAACAAATCATTTCATTTATTTTGATGTGCGTCTAAAGGACAACATGTGTAGTGACACCTGTTAATGCTGGAGGTGTTCTTTCAGTCTGACTGGCTCTAGTTTCAGATCCCCGGTGGGCAGCAGGGGACGGAGCAGGCCCGGCTACAGGGCCGGCGTCCTGTCCAGTCCTATCCTACGCATCCTGTCCTAATGAAGACAGACGACACATGGACGTCTTTAAATGTCGTCCTGATGGGTCAGAAAGTTCCTCCATCCTGCAGAGAATTCAGTCCATCAGTCACGTCTCTTCATGTCATGAACTACACAAAGACTACACTATGACAGACGGGTTTCATGACAACGCTACTCCAAGGATTTTACAGGCACTTTTTAAAACACAATGTTTAGCTGTTTTTGGGATGACATGCAGGAAAGCTCCAGTCTGGCCAGGATTCTAACTTGGACTCGCTGCTGATGGCATGTGTGGTATCTGCCTAAAGACGTGGCTCATCCTACAGACGTGTTGAAATGAATCCAAAGCAGACACAGAGTCACATGGACACACAGCAGCATGAGGAAGCAGTGGACACAGGAGCTGTTCTGGGGCAGAGCTGAGCTGTGACTGAGCTCAGAAGCCCGACTTCTGACCAGTCAAAGACCTCAGCCATCGTATTCAGACTTAGACGTTGTGTTTTCTCTACAGGCAGCCAGGCTGAGTACAGTAGGAGTGTTGGACCTGCATGAGGGGTTGTTCTGTAGCTTCAGGCACATGCAGAGCATTTCCTCGTCCCTCTGCGTCTCCCGCTACTTGGCTGTGTGCAGAGCCTGGTGCCTGATCAGGTTGCTGAGGAAGGAGAAGTTCTTGCCACACTTGGAGCAGTGGAACCTCTTCTCCCCGGTGTGGACGCTCTGGTGGACCTTCAGATTGGTGGAGGTGGAGAACTGCTTCCCGCAGTGAGGGCAGGGGAACGGCCTCTCCCCCGTGTGGACCATCTGGTGGCGCTTCAGGCTGCAGAACTGGCCAAACTTCTTCCCGCACTGGGCACACTGGTACGGCTTCTCTCCAGTGTGGACACGCTCGTGGATGCGGAGCTGACACTGGTGGGCGTAGCGGCGCGAGCAGAAGGTGCAGGCGTAGGGGAGGCAGGGCTGCTGCTGGGACTGTGCTGGGCCCGACTCCGTCTTCTGACTGTCAGAGGCTTGGTAAAGCTGGTCCTGACTGGAGAACTTGTCTGCCTGCTGGATTCCAGACCAGGGATGCTGGGAGTCCACTGTTCCCTTGGCAACGTGATCCCTGTAGGCTGCGTTGCCGTCACACATCACGTCACCGGCTGCTGGCTGGTGGACCTGAACCAACAGCAGCGACTGATACGGTGACCTCACACCGCTGACAGCTTCATCAGCTGCATCGTCTCCAGCTCGTGCAGACGACCACGGTTTGTCCTCCGCTACATGTGAGACTGAGCCGACTGCACTGGACTCAAAGTTAAACACAGGACCGGCCCGGTTCATACTGCTCGGAGGCATTTTAGAACCAGCCGGGAAACCAGAGGCCCGGTTGTGGCTAAATGACGGCTTTGCTGCTTTGAACGTAGAACAAGATGGCTGCTCCATGTCTTCAGGCTGGCTGTTCTCCTGATGTTCCAGCGGTCTTTGGGAGGGACTGGATCTCTTCGGGGTGTCACCTGATGAGCCCACAGCAAAGAAGCAGAGTTAGAAATAAAAATGTGATCTTTTTACAGAGTTCATGTCAGAACTTTCTACTTCACAGTTGATCATGTGGGCTTCAAAGAGTCACACTGAAGGTAGCAGCTGTTCATTTCGACACACAGCTGATGTGGGTACATCATTATATTACAGCTATCATTCAGAACCAGGCCACCAGCTTTAGAGCAGCTGAAGCTTGTCAGGCGCTCCGTGTACCTCTGAATCCCACCTCGAGGCGTCTCTGGCTCCTTCATGTTTTGTTCTGTGGGCTTCTTTTCTCTAATGCAACATAAAGTTATGCACCTCTACGGAAACACCACAACCATGTCTACAAGTTGGGTTTTCTTTTTGGCAGATTGTTAAATTAGAACAGTAAGGCTGAGGGTTCGATCTCTGTGCCAAAGTGTCCTTGGGCAAGACACTGAAGCCTGAGTTGGTCCCACTGGTCGGTGAGCACCTGCATGGCAGCTCTGCTTTGTGGAGCATAGCTCAGCCTAGCAGGGTGCTACATGAAGGCAGGTCATGTTTAATAAGAACGATTCTGATGAAATATCACGATTTTAAAGTTCCCATATCATGCACCTTTTTAGCAAATGGCTTCAAGTCTCACATTCCCCATGTGGCAGCTCAAAACACAGCATTTATTGCTTCTAGCTTTTGCTCGTAGTGACGGTTTGACATGGAAAACATTCAGAACCCAGCTGCTGTCTTTAGCGGGTGTGTGGCGTGTTGGTAGTCAGGGCTGGACATCACCCACATCACGGCAGTCTGCAGGTTTCTACAGCTCCTAATGTTCTATTAATGATGATGAACACACATGCGTCTTTGGTTGTTAACATTTTGATCATGTCATAAATGTATTCATTATATATTTTTATAGATTTTCTCTAAATGTGACAGAATCTGCTGGTTCAAAAATACACAGCAGCATCTTGAATTATGTGATTTGTTTAAATTGTAGAAGGCTGTTCATCATGATTTCTTAGTGGCATGACCTGTGACCAGCTCACTGAGCCACTGATCAGACGTTAGCCGTGGCATTAAAACAGCATTTCATCCACTTCAACTGCGTACTCTTGACCCCTCTGTTGACCCATGGTGAGCCGTTACTGGACTAAAGCGGTGAATAAAGAGCGCAGAAGCTTCACACTAGGAAGAAATACTGATGTAAAATCAAACTACACGTTCTGGGCTCCATGAAGACGACCTGAAGCTCCGAGTGGGGATTCATCTGCTGCTGACTGCACCACCTCCTCCTGCTTTTGGTCACATTGTTGGTTTGTTTTTCTTTTTTAACCAGAATTTATTAAGAGCAACAAACTCTTCAAGTGCATTCTTCCATGACACTTTGCCTACTTTTCCACATGAAGCGTGACAACAGGAGGTGAGCGACGGTTTCCCTTCAGTCACAAACAACAGCTGCGGTGGTGCTCACAGTGCAGGCGGATGTCGCTGCTTGGTGCACGCTGACATTGAAATTTCCACCACAGGACAAGTTGTGACAGAAGAATCAGACGATACCTTGCACTTGGTCCGTCTGTTCCTGGCGGCTGTGAGGGCTGCTTGTGTTTGTCAGACATCCTTGGCCCTGGAAAGAGGAGGAAGGTGTTTAGCTGGCACACAAAACCGACGTCTGACACAGAAATGATGACGGTTTCAGACGGAGTCAACGGGACGACGAGTGGTCAGTACAGAACCACACCATGTTGTAAATGCTGGTTCCAGCTGCATCCTGTCACCTCGTCGAAACAGGAAGTAACGCATTAAAGGACCAAGCACAATGAAAGTCGTTGAAAATATGATTTATTTGCATATTTACAGGTGACTACATGTAGATCTCCTGTTCTTCTTTAGGGAGCTCATAATAAAACATTAAAGCGGTTAGACATGGAGTTAAACAAATGTAATGAAGACATAAAATGACGTGATGACTCCAAACACACAGCTCAGCGACACACCGGAGGTTCAACATGTGGAAACCTGACTCAGGTGTGCTCAGGTGTGCACGCTAGCTCACGTCCTGTATCCGAGTCCAGACACAGGACGCAGCTCAGAGGACGTTCACACGAGTCAGACTCTCATGAGCAAACCAATCATGACACTATGACGAGAACACTCATCATAATTTGGATTTATTAGATGGAAAGTAGAACTTTTATCTGCACTAAAGAACCGCTGGATTATTCCCCAATTTACTGACATCATAGAAAGAAAGAGAACCAAAGGAAGGCATCTCTGCTGCAGCCCTTTGGAGACGTGGATGACAGCACGGCTCACTTTATGGTAAACAGATGGAGATACAGTGGATGTTCAATGTTCTTCACAGCTTCATCCAGACATGACCAGATGTCACAGGAAGAGTTAACATGCTCGGCATCTGGCCCTGGTGCACTGTGACCTTCATCTAACTAGTAATGTGGTCCAGACAGAACCACCTGTCCCTCTGGGTACACCTGGCCAAGGTCAGCCTGCGTGGGGACAGACTGATGAAGTCCACAGAGCTGGGCTGAGGCTGATGTCCTCCCCTTTCACCTGGATGTTTCATGCCACTGGGGAAAGACATGTTAGAAGGATGCTACTGAGATCTGACATCGCCGAGGCCACAGACAGAACAACGAGCAGGTTTCCAGTTCTGCTGATAACATCAGTTTCTGTCAGACTACTGACCGAGGAGCACTGGACGGGATTATCATAAAATAATAGAGAAAAGCTGTGATGGAAGCTGCTCTGAAACTGGACCAGAGCCAGGGGAGAGGAGGAGGATTTAGTGTGACCACCTGTGATCAGAACCAACCACGATGACCCGTTTAAACTGAAGCTCCTCTGCTGAAGATGCCTGAATGTGTCGTGTTGGAGTGCAGCAGAAGAAAAGAGACGTTAAGGATTCACCACAACAGTACCAGGCATGGATGTCATCCATCCATCATCTCTACACCTTTATCCTCATGGGGGGCGGAGCCTATCCCAGCTGACTCAGGGTGAAGGCAGGTTCACCTGGACAGGTAACAGGTGCTAAGCGCTGAGCCACCTGCAGCCCTCAGTGAAAAGTATTTCTGAAAACATTTAGGTGAGGACACCCGGGATCTTCCTGCGTGGAGTCTCCATGTTCTCCCCGTGCAGCGTGGGTTCTCTCCGGGTTCTCCGGCTTCCTCCCACAGTCCAGAAACATGCTGAGGTTAATTGGTGATTGTAAATTGTCCGTAGGTGTGAATGTGAGTGTGCTTGGTTGTCTGTCTCTAAGTGTAGCCCTGTGATAGACTGGTTACCTGTCCAGGTGAACCTGCCTTCACCCTGAGTCAGCTGGGATAGGCTCCGCCCCCTTGTGAGGGTTAAGGTGTAGAGATGATGGATGGATGGTTTTTTATGAATGACCATATTTGGTGACTTCCTGGGACGTCCACCCTGTGCCTCTGGTTGAGGTTGAAGAACCACATGAGCTTTGATGTAGTTTTTGTATCAGTGCCAACATCACCACCTGAAGGAAAACGTCCCTGAACACATGTTCCAGGCTCTTTATAAGCACTTTGCTACGGGTTTGCATTGAAGTCCACACAGATCAGAGCCGGAACCAAGAAGACTGCGACTGGATGTCAGAGCGCTTCGTTAACGCTTCGTTAGTGGCTGTGTGCCGTCACCTCAAACTGAAATGTTTCTAAATAAATGCTTGTTACTTTGTCTTTTATTTATTATAAATTCCTTTTTTTAACCGTAGACAGGAAGTTACCGTATATGGTAACTGCATTAATCTTGATTTGCAACATCTTTTTGTTTTCAAGTCACAAAAGTAAAAATATCTTGAACTATCCTTCAGTAACACGCCAGGGCTGGAATGTTTGTTAGTATTTCAGAGAGCCTTATGAAGGGTTACCTGGGCAGCCAGGTGCTACTCACTGCCATAAAACAAAAACGTGTTTTCAAAAGCTTCATTTAAATATCACTGTGTGTTCATTCCTGTCTCCTGGGGACAATAAGTTGTGCTGACTCAGAGCACCCAGCAGTCGAGTGACCAACCTGGCCTTGCTGTAGGTGACGTCGCCTCTGTCATCTAGTCTCTAGTTATTCCCCGACATACACAACTGCTCCTAAACCGGTTTATATATTGAACCCACAGCATCCCGTTGCTCTAGAACATGGTGGTGTGATGACCATCCTGCCCGAGAGGCTGCAAACTCCAGGCAACCAGGACAGCTGGGCTCCTCATCATAAGAACCATGGTTTGAAACACTGCGTGCTGCTTCAGACATGCACGTCTATATTTCTCTATCTTCATGGTTCATGCATAAAATGCTGCTGAACACCAAACTTCAATCACTTAAACCCAAAAATCTGAAAGAACTAAATCAAAGTTTCTTGATGCCAAGTGCTGTAAAACAAACCCAGTGTGGTCCTGTGTAGAGCTGAACGCAGGCAGCAGCAGCTCCTGTCGTCGCTCTTTTAGCTCTTATTGGTCCTGTGAACAGGAACAATGAGAAACTAAAGCTGAAGCAGGTGCGTTATTAACACTGCATCTGCTGACTTCTACTACAAAAACTAAAACTGCCCCTAAAGCCCCGGGGTGGTGTGCACACTGCTGCCGGCTGGGCACTGATGGGTGTGAACTGTGCTGAGCTGCTTTGTGTCCCAGTCAGCCTGTGCTGTGTGCTGATCATGTACTACAGACACCACTGGTTGACCAGGCCATGAAGCACCTGGCTTTTATTTTTACCTGTTGGTCACCTTTACACAGACTGCTGAGACGTGCTAGCCTCCCTGATGCTGCTCAGTAAACACCAGACGACGGCCTGTTTCTGCAGGTCTCTGTGTAGCCTGGAGTTCAAATCAAAGTGTGTTCAGATGGTGAAAGTCTCACATGTTCTCCTCCATCTTTAGCAGTTTCTAATCAAAAAGTCTTTCACAATAAGGCTGAGGATTAAAAAGCAAACAGCAGGGTGTGTCTTCAGGAAGGCTTCGGAGGAAGATCCGGTCTCTGTGCTCAGTGCTGAAGCTTCTGGTGCCTCTTGAGGTTGCTGGGATGGGAGAAGCGCCGACTGCACACGGAGCAGCTGAACGGCCTCTCTCCGGTGTGCACGTTGCGGTGGATGTCCAGCTGGCTCTGGCAGACAAAACTCTTGCCGCACAGCACGCAGGCGTGGGGCTTCTCTCTGCTGTGCCGGGCCATGTGCTTCTGAAGGTCCGACTCCAGGAAGAAGCGCTTGGTGCAGCTGGTGCAGCCGTACGGACGCTCCATGACGACGGCGTGATAGAAGGCCAGGTGCAGGCTGCTGGACGAGGGCTTCTGGTGGCTGTGGCCGGAGGAGTTACAGTCAGAGGTTCCTGGAGGCTCGTCACATGGACGGATGTGTTCTGCCTGCCCGGACTTGTGTCCTGCTGAGTCTAGCCCAGCACAATGAATCATGGGAGATGTAGTTTCTTCATGTGTGCCCACCTCTCTGGTGTGACCTACATCTGACCACTCACATGCTTCTCCCTCTATGACTATGACCTCAGACGGGGAGGAGCTAGCTAACGCAGCCTGATTAGCTTTGCTTCCGTCCATTACAGCCATGGCGGCGTCGCTGTGTGGGGTGGTGTCAGTGTGAGGATTTAAAAGCTGACTGTGTCCTGTTTTGACATTACTTCCTGATAGCTGCAGCTGGGAGCTGTGGGAAGCGCTGCTGCTGCTGCTGCTGCTGCTGCTGTCAGTTTCAGCTGTCCTGCCGACAACAAAGGTGACGATGTCAGATCCACTGACCTCCGTTTCACTGTGGCGTCTGGGGTTTTTCAAGACGGCAGTGAGCGGCGTGTCGGTGCCGACGTCCCCTCTGGTGCTGATGCAGGGATCTGGCGGCGCTCCCTGGTTGGCGGGTCCAGTCTCCAAACCTCCCTCCACCTTCACGATCAGCAGCTCCCCCTCCTCCTCAGGCTCTGCTGACTGAGAGGACAAACCGACTCAAAATGATGCTTTAAATGGTTCTACAATAACTCATCATGAAACCCTGATCAGAACACGCCTGATGTCTGCTCAGTGCTTCAAAGGTGCAGTAAAGTACAAGAAGAGGCTTAAAGTCTTCAGGCTGGACGGCTCGCTGTGAAACAGACACAGAGGATCATCTCACACCAACGAACCAAACCTGCTTCACTTCATGTCTTAGATGTTCTGGAAAAGTGCACAGAACCTGGCTTCATCTGATGATAAATGTTTTACAGTAATCACAGTTTGTTTTACCCAAAAGAAGAATATTTATTTTTTAGAAATTACCATCATCACAAGTTTCCATCTTCTTGTCACCACATGTTGACTCTGTGTGGTAACAGCAGCTGGTTTAGTTCATGCAGTCGAAGCGCCGACGAGTCCTACAGCTCACGGATTAACAACCGGACTCCAACAGTCCAGCATATGTATAACCAGACCCGTTATGTGACACTGTAGTACGTGATCGCCTTATCCCTACAATCAGAGCAGACAAATGAACCCAACCAACCGTAGAACCCGGTTCTCATGGTGTTTGTCATCTTACTTTGGGTCCCTCCCTCCACTGATGCCTTTCATGTGACCGGATCGTATCGCTGAACACTGAAGCTCTGAGGCACTCTGGTTTCTACAGCAAACCCAAAACCATCCTAAAACATGATCAGCAGCTTGTGGTGGTTGTGCACACGTCACAGGTTTGATGCCGTGACCATCTACAGGCCTCATAACGGCATCAGCTGATTCATAACATGTGGTCCGGGTCAGGGTTTGGCCGGGTTCTCCTTCCCATGTCTGACTCTATAAGAATGTCCCCTTTGCGGTGACGCTACAAACACACCTCCTACTACGGCAGAACCCTGAATCAGGGCTCTGATGAGGACGCTGGTCTGGAGTCAGCGGACTGTGGAACAGCGACTGTAAAAACAAGCTACCTCAGTCTTGGTGGTGGTGACGACCTCCTGATCAGGATCCTGGTCCAAGTCAATGGGCTGGATCTTCTGGACAGACTGCTGCGCCCCTGGACCTCGGTTCAGAAACCTGGTCCTACCCTGCAGAGAAGGGCCTGATGGGATATCAGAAGGAGAACAAAGAGCCACTGATTAGTCCAGCTGCATCCATGACTGTCTGCACACAGACAACACAGCGAGTCCGCAGATGTTCTAGAGCTGGAAACACCCCAGCAGCACCGACCCGAGGCCTGTCAGGGCCACCTGATCGGACCTAAAGCTGTATCTATGTATGGGCTGAAAGGCGGTTTATATCTTGATATGTTTCCACAAAGCGTCCTAGATGTCCAGGTTTGGGTCAGAGCCACGTGTGCTGTTGGTCTAAAACGGACCCGCATGCTGGGCTCAGAGAAAATGAAATCATCGAAGACAGTAGTAGAAGTATTTCAAAGCCCCGTCAGGCCCACAGAGTGGGCGGACGTCATCTTTCTGATGTCCTCCAGTCTGCTGGGCTGCTTCCTGAGAAGGGAGGAGAACACAGGCCCAACAGAACCGGAGGGGTCCACACACTGAGACATGCTTAGAATCAGCCTCCATCCACACAGAGACAGCAGGGGCGTCCTCTGCCACCCACCCACCATCAGGGCTTCTCCTGCTAACATCTCCATCAGAGGAGCAGACAGAGGTGGGTCTGTTGGCACCTGCTGACCCGTTGCTGTACTGAAGAGCAACCTACGTCCAGAAGGTCCAGACCGGTCTGCATTCCCACAGACGGAGCAGCTCGGCGCCGGTACCAGTCTGCATGGTGGGATGTTTGGTTGTTCAAAGAAGGAAACACTCTGGTGCTCAAACCATTAGTTCTGCTGCACACGGCCCGGTGCAGGCTGGACGGCAGCGGTCCTCACACTGGGGGTCGGGGCCCCCATGGGGTCCTAGGATAACTTCAGGGGCTCAACAGATCCTTGTAAATAAATAAGTAAATAAATAAAGGCTCCACTGATCAGATCAGCGTCACCACATCTGTCAACATGAAACTTCTTCCATCCCTGAACCACTGCTTCATATGACCTGATATCATCATCATCATTATTATTATTATTATTATTATTATTATTCTGTTTTGCTCTTTTTAAATTATTTCACTTTGTTTTTCGTTCTTTTCATTTGTTCTAAATAAATGCATCCATTCATTCAAAGGAAACCGTGAAGAGCTGAACTAACTCCTCCTGATGAGACCTCCGGACTGGGCTCACCAACACACACGTTTGTTAGAGAACCGCTGCTGTCCAGGACCTTTCCGAACCTCCCGTCCCCCGGTACCGGTACCGGTGTCGCTGCTGCCTACCTGCCAGCGGGTCCCTGCCCTGCCGGTTGAGGAGGCGGACTCCGGGGAAGCGGCTGCCGCCGGAGCCCTCCGGACCCCGCACCCGCTCCGCTCGGTACCGGGCGATCTGCAGCTCCAGCAGCTTGATCTTCCTCCGCAGGAAGTCGTTCTCCTTCTGGCTCCGGGACATCTCCAGATGGACCACCGCGTAGCCGTCGTCCACCACTTTGCAGATCTCCGCCACGGCCGCGTTGGCCAGAACCTCCATGATGGAGGCGATCTGAGAGTGGAAGTCCACGGCGCTGGACATGGCGGCGGCCGGACTCCACCCGCGGCCTGACAGGACGAACAAGCGGACGCTGGTGCTGGAAGCGGTTCTGACGACTGTAAACCCGCCGCAGCGCTATCTGGACCGCATGCCGAGGCGGTTCTCCTTCACGAGTAACGGAGGGAGGCTCTTGAACCAGGCCCGGGAAGTCTTTGTTGTATGACGAGCGCAGAGCAGCTCTACTTCTGGGCAGGATTAGTGGACAGTAGGACCCAGGAGCGCCCCCTGCGTCCAGGAGCGGAGCTGCAAGGCTGCAAAGAGGCAGGCCAGTTCACCTGGAGAGCCGAACCGGTACCAGAGGTCAGTCACACAAAACCACAAGAAGACAGATCAAATCAGTCCACAGAACATAAACACAATCATTAATTAATGACATTAAAATCAAGGAGGCAGATAAATTCACCCAGAAAAACATAAATATAATCATCAATTAGAAGAGTCCAGATCAATACTTCCAGCTGTCTTACGCACAGCTGAACAGAACTGTTGTCAGCCTGGATGTGAACATCGACAGAGTTAAGGCCCGTCTCACATCTTCTGAAGTCCACTTCCAGGTTTTAGCTGCATGAACCTGAAACGCAGCCTCAGCGTGTCTGGTTCAGTTTAATAAGTCTGATGGAGAATAAAACGCTGACACAGAAACCAAACACCCAGGGACATCCTTTATTCTACAGCTGCATCAGAGGAACTTACACGTGTTAGACATTAGTTGTGTGATCATCATTATCACATAGAAAGAGGCTTAGACTGACTTATTGAGCCCAGAGCGAAATCCAGGTGTTCCAGCAGTAGGACTGTTCAGCAGAGGAGCGAACAAAGCAAAAGGACAACACCGAATATTAGGGCATAAAGGTTCCATAAAATAAGATACAAATATGGAAAATATCATATAGAAGAAAGTCAGCAAAATCTACAAGAGCAGATAAGAGAGATTCAGAAATGTGCAGATGAAAGGCTGACAAGCACAGAACCAGGTGGAGGTGATGGAACACGTGCACACAGTCCAGCAGCAGCATTTAGAACAAGTTAAAGTCCACGAGGAATCTGAAAGTGAAATGCACCACCAGACATCTGTACACGAACCTGCAGTGTGACATCGTGGTGGACGAGGTGGATGAGGTCCAGTGCAAAGATCTCCAAAAAACATTCAGTTTAACGCTGGATCCAAACAAAGAATCTGTAAGCACACTGACAACAGGCCCTGCAGGTGAATAAACGAGCCTCATTCACCAAACTGTGCAGTTATTACACGCAATGACCTTTTTATTACACACATGTGAACCGTACAAAACAAAAGAAGAAAGGGATTGTTTGGTTTGTCAGCTGTATTGGTGCTCACTACCATGATGAACACCGACATGTTTCCACCACGTCTTGGTGTTGCGATGCCCCTCCGGCCCGGCAGGGGGCGCTCAGCTCCCTCCCTGCAGCCAGCGCAGTCCTCACACGCACAGCAGAAGAGGACACGTCTGCGTGGATCTGCCGGCTGGCCGCAGTCCGCCGGGTGACCCTGTCAGTGCCGCAGAACTTTCTGGAAGCAACGACCGAGCTTTGCTGCTCCATTCATCCAACAGCGCGTGCTGTGTGACCCCAGAAATGGCTCGAGGAAGCCGCAGCCGTCCCTCAGCGCCGGCCAGGTAAACACACTGCAACACCTGCTTTAACACACCTTATTGTGCACGTGAGGTGCTGCGTGCGAAGGGACAGCACGGTGCCAGTACAGCTCGGGTTCGGACTTACACAGACCCAAACCCAGGAAAGGTAAAGTCCAGGTGCTTAGTTTTCACTGCTGCGTCATGATGGGTCGTTGTTGCGTCACTGAGACCTTGTTGGTCCAAGTTGGGTTCTGCCAAGGTCACCAGGTGGAGGCGGGCTGTCCGGTGGAGGGACGGCGGGGGGCAGCTGCTGCGTTCTCATAGAGCTGGTGGCACTTTTTAAATTTATTATTTTTATTATTATTATTGTTGTTGTTATTATTATTATTATTATTATTGTTGTTATTATCATTATTAGGCGCAGTCGTGGTATTGTTAGTATTATTATTCTATTTTTATTTAATTTTAAAATGTAGTTATTATTATTTTTACTCGTGTGTTTTTTATTTTGACTGAAACATGATGAGTCCAGTGTGACTGTAACCTGAGAGTCTGACCCACTGAGGGAGTCTCATGGCCACAGGATGGCAGGAATGATTTCCTGTGGGGGGACGAGTCTGGGACTAGATGAGCTCCTGTGGCTGACCAGCATGTCCTGGAGTGGGTGGGAGGCATGGTCCAAGAGGACCTGGACAGCATCCTCCTCTCAGACACCATGGTCAGAGTCCGTCTCCACCCCCACAGCGCCACTGGCCCTGCAGATGAGTTTGTTCAGTCTGCTGGCTTGTACCACCCTCAGCCCACTGACTGGCCTCCACAGAACATCCTGAACATAGTCCTGCAGATACTGAAGGACGTCGGCTGCCTCAGAAACCAGAGCCGACCCTGAGATGGTTTAACCAGACGTGGGTGAGGTCAGCTGAGGTATCAGTGACTGCACTCGGCTGTGGCGTCTGTGAACAGGCTGCAGCGATGTGGATGACATCACAAGACGCCGTTGCGTTGGCAGGAACATAAACATCACAACATGAGAAAACTCAGAATTGCGCCACCTGTTGTGAACTGGAACGGCGAGCCCTCCTCCCTCGCCTTTAGCGCCCCTGGTGCAGTTCCTGTCGGCCCAGTCTGGCAGCCCTCCATGGAACCGCTGTCATCAGGAATGTCCTGGTGCAGCCAAAGCCAGCCCTTTGTCTCCTGGCCAGCGCCATAAGCTCCTCCATCTGATCAGCCAGAGACCTCACCGTCCCCATGATCAAAGCTGCAGGACCTGACGGGATAACGGGCTGTGTCCTGGAAACCTGTGCCAACCAGCTGCACCGGTGTTCACCGAAATATTCAGCCAAGTTCACACTGGGAGTAGGGCACGGCACAAAGGGCTGAGCAGAGGGGTTTTAGAAAAGAAAAGATGGGAGGGAGTTTGAAACTTTGGGTTTTCCTTTTGGCGTGCTTGGAGCATGTGCTGCTGCTGGTCTGATGGGCGTGGCTTAGGACAGAGTGGGAGGGACAAGCTGCAGGAGGAGGCCGTGTTTAAAGTGCACAAGAAATGGACTGTTTCTGATTTGTTCGTAGCCCGACTCCAACCCATGCTCCTGCACCTGCTCATTCACCTCCTGCCTCGCTGGCTCCAGCTCCGGCTCCATCCCAGGGGCCCGGCCTCATGGCCCAGATGGCCACCACAGCTGCTGGGGTGGCAGTAGGTTCGGCTGTGGGCCACGTCCTTGGCAGCACCCTCACAGGAGCGTTTGGCGGCGGTGGCAGCAGCAGCCCAGAGCCAGCCAAGCCTACGCATCAGGTAAGACCTGGAGTGGGCTCAGTCCAGAAGATTAGAGTAGCTGAGTAACCAATAGGAGCTGGACTTTACACTTTTCAAACATTACTGGGTTGGACTTCAGTCTGACTCATCCTATAGGTCAGGAAGTGCTGTGGCCACAGTCTGAGGCCCGTACAGAACCGCTGATCAGGCACTGATATTATTATAGAAAGAGAGGGTACTTGCTGCTTAGTTTGTATCTGGTCATCACTGGATGTTCTGCCCTCACTGGTTAACTCACAGCTGTGCAGATAGAGTCCTGACGGGTGGGATGGCTTCTGTAATGAGACGTGGCCTTCAGTCATCAATGGAGGGAAACTACAAATAAAACTGAAATAAACAATATTTAGAGTGCATCCTGGTGTGCATGTACATAAACTAAACCGTCCTGAACACAAATGTTGGCTGACATGAGCTAAACATGCATAAATTTGATGGCTAGAAACATAAACTTATATGAAATACAGCCTTAAAGGACTGCTGTTAACATACAGGACCTATAAACGATGCTCACGGTGAGCCACTACTGTCAGCCACTACTCAACACGTGTTTCCATGTAACTCAGTAAACACAACAGACAGATACTACAGCGCCTCCTGCTGGCGGGGAAGAGGCTGTGTCAGCATGCATCAGACTGTCTGTCCACCGTCACCACAGGAGGAAAAAGCTCTAAAACATGTTGTTGCCTGAGCTCGTTATCCAGCCTCAGGCATCCATGACAGAGGCTGAAACATGTTGTTGCTCTGTGTTCTTTACGTTGTTTGGTTTTATTTTTATGGGCTTTTGCCTTCATTCAGCAGTGCAGTGAAGAGAGACAGGAAAGGCGGGAGTCGAACCCACGATCGCTGC